GTTTTCGCCTACAAGTGGGTCCCCTCCTGGCTGCCTGGGTTGGAGTCCTGTGAAGGTCTCAGCTGGCTCAATTCTCTGCCTCGGTTGATGCTGCTCTCTGCTGGGCTGGAACTGTCTGACCACACACTGGATCCTGCAGCAATTCAAAGTCTCCCTTTGTGGGGATTGGGAGCTAAGCAGAAACTTTTGCTTCTCTCTCAGCTCCAAACTCAAAAGCTCCAAGAGTGAAACTAAAACTAATTTGTCTTTGAGTCAGGCTCTCTCACCACCCCCATCGCCTCCAGTAGCCCTGGTTCACCACTGATCCAGCAAACTGCTTGTCCATATCTCCGCAGGCAGAAGCCATCCAGTCTAGTCTATCCCTGCCCCAGACACTTTTCAGGCTGTGAAATGGTGTCGGGAGGCCCTGGAGCCATTGTTCGTTGTTGTCTATAGGTTAAGTCTCTACTCATATGTCTACACAGCAATTAAACACCTGCAGCTGGCCTGGATCAGCTGACTTGGGCTCACTGGGCTTGGGCTGCAGGGCTGTAAAATTGCTGTGTAGACATTCAGGCTCAGGTTGGAGCTGAGGCTCTGGGATCCTGTGAAGTGGGAGAGTCCCAGAGGCAGAACTTCTACACAGCAATTTTTAGACCTGCAGCTCAAGCCATAGTCACTGACGCAGGCCAGCCATGGCTGTGCCGTGGGTCTTTTGTTCCAGTGCAAACGTACCCTTAGACTAAGCTCAGGCCAGCGTTCCAGGAGGTGACAAACTCCAAAGGGGGTTACATATGCAGATTAGTACACTAAATAATCGGCATAAAATGTCGCACAAGTAGCAGAACAAGATTTGGCAGCTGGGCTACAAAATTCCTTACCACCCTCCTTCCTGGCGTCAGGCTACAACATTAAAGACACAATACACACCATCTTAGGATGTAGCCATCTTCAATGAGGGCAACCTGCCTTCATACCCTTTGGAAACAATAGCCACTTTTAGAGAGAGCAAGATGTCGCATGATGCCTGAAACTGCTCCTGTGATCCTGTCAAGCTTCAATAACCCAGAGGCACAAACTGCAGGGGTCGTGATAGAATTGTGAGGGTCAAACAGGAGCAACAATAGGTCAGGGCTTGGAGGGAGTCATAGGATGAGAAATTTACAAACTAAGGCCCAGATCTTCAATGGCATTGAAGGCCTACCTCACGTTGATTTCAATGGGAGGCAGATGTCTAAATACCTTTGAGGATCTCGCCCTTCGTGACACATTTCAGATGCCCAGCGTCCCTACAGCTCCAGGTGAAGTGAATGGGAGGTATGGGGGCTGAGCTACTCTGAAAATCAGGCCCTATATATGCATTGTTTTGCAGACTGCCCAGTTGAGGTGCTGAATCAACACTTGTGGGCTGATCCTGCCATTTCTGTGGCTGTGCCAGGTGATCCCTGACGGAGAGGGAGTTACAAACAGACTTAGGACAGAGTGGGGCCCACAACCTGGATCATTAATCAGTTGAGTATGTTAATTCTCCCCCTTTACTAGCATGGTGTATAATACATACCCGTGAGCGGTGAAGAAGTGGAAGGATCAGAGAAGATTCTGATCCATCCTTGAAGTAGGAATTAAAAGATGGAGAGTTAGTTTTAATTCTGAGAAAGTTGAGAGAGTAAGCACAGGGATTTCAAGCAATGGAGTAATGTGACTACAAACGAAGTGGCTATGCCAGAACTGAAACTTTTTTTAGATGGTCTCCCTGGATTTCTTTCATAGTTTAGCGCTATTTTGCATTCATCCTTTCATACCCATTTCTCTGTCGGACATTTGTTTTTCTTAAAGCTTGCTCTTTAAAGCTCTGCACAATAAATTAATACTCAGCTGTGCTGTTCGATACATAAGTGCTTCTTGCTTCACTTGCTGTGAGTTTCAACTCATTTTCACCTCTCAATATAATTTGAAAGAGGTGTTTGTTTCAGTGACCACTGAATTGTTGAACAGGGTTCCCCAACCTGGCCAATACTGAGGTAAATGGAATGCACTGTATGAGTGGGAAAGAGCAGAGTCACTTCAGAAGTGCAAAAATGCTTAGCGCATAGAATCATCAGACATGACTTACCTTGTGTAGTAATAAAACTGAATTTGCTCCTCCTGCTATCTTTGCTGAATTATTTCACACTTCATATGTTTTACATCTTCCAAGCACTGTACTAATGCTCATCTTCCCAACTCCCTTGTGTGGTGGGGACAGACAATGTGGTGTGTTGCAAACTGTGTTGAAATTATAAGTGCTCACTTTAAGTTGTAAGGGGTTAACCTTGCCTGCAAGTTGGACCAGAGGCTCTGTAGGGAAGCTTGTGGGCTGGGTCTTCAGCAGTCAGTCTGCAAGAGCCAGTCTGGAGCAAGGTGGGTAGAGTTGTGCTTCTCGGCCTTAGACAGTAGTCTGTTCTCTCTCTCTCTCTCTCTCTCTCTCTCTCTCTATAATTGGTTGTGTTTTAGATTTCTGGGTTCTAAGGAATAAAGTAGTCGTGTGCTGCACCCTTTCAGGAAGAGTGTACATTTTCCTTTTTTTCTGACTTTCCGTATACGCCATGAATAGAACAGGTACATGGTATTACTTTCATTTTTCAAATGAAAAAACAGAGGCATACCTTAAGCCCCATCCTCAGCACAGCACACTAAGCTAGTGACAGAGGCAGAATTAGAATTAATCAGTCCATAGCTGCTGGTCCTGTGTTCAGTCCACATTTGTTTCTTGGTCAGTGAAGTGCCCACTTTGGATAATCAGGAATAGATTAAAGGAGAATCCTTGGATCAAGGACTTGTGCTCAGAGGGGATCGGAATGCAGCAGTGAGTTGGAGGGAGAGCGGCAGGTGCAAATGCCTATTACTTCTAGTTCACTGTCAGCTGGGCTGGGCTCCGTTGCCTTGACTGGATAGGGAACAAGGATTCAAGTGGAAGGAATACAACTATCTCCCCAAGGAAGTGCTGGGAGGAAGAGTCTACAGGAGGGACAGGCTGGGCTGGGAGGAAATGTTTTGTGTGTTCTGGAGATGTGGGTTAACTTCGAAAGTGGTGGGTTCTCTTTAGCCTTAATCCTCCCTAAATCTGTGTGAATTTCTAAAGATCAGAAATGTCTCTTGGGCAATGATCATGGGCGAGTTGTAATATTGGTGGTAGTTAGCTGAGTGGCATTCAGTGCTTTGCATAACAGCACAGGACCAGATTCTGATCTGCTGTAAATCCAGAATAAAGCCAACAGCTTTACTGAAGTTACCCTGGTGTAACTCTGCTCCGAATCTGGCACTTCAGTCATGGCCAAGAAGAATTTACAACAGAAGTCAAATTATCAAAATTCCAGGTATAAATGTTGCTGGCCTTGCATGGTACTGTGGCTAGGATTTTTACTTTGGGGCAGGGGGTCTCAAACGTTTTCATAGTGTGGGCCCCCTCTTAAGGTAGTATAACCTAGTAGATAGGGCTCTGATCTGGGACTCAGGAGATGTGGGTCCAATTTCTGGTTCAGCCGCTGGCCTGCTGGGTGATCTTGGGCAAATGATTACACTGCTGTGCCTCAGTTTCCCCATCAATTAAAAAAGGGGATTATGATATTGATCTCCTTGGAAAAGGACTTTGAGATCTAAAGATAAAAATGTTAAATTAGCAGTGTGTGTGTGTGTGTGTGTGTATTTATTTATTTATTATTAATGGAGTGTCCCATAAACCAACTTCCCTTCTCACATACTGTTGGATAACAGCCCTGTAGCAATCACAGCAATTGCATTAGTATTAGAGCTGATTAAAAACCCAAAAGTTTTCCCATGAGAAATTACAGCTGAAAAATCTACACGTTTGAAATTTTTCAATTGCAAAATTTGGGTTTCCTGTGGGAAGCTTTGAACTGATTTGAAACCATCAGTTGTTTAATTTGGCTTAAAATATCATTTTGTTTGGTTCTTCAGTTAATCCTTGCCCCCCCCCACCACCACCTCACCCTATCCCACCCAACTCTACCCCAGATTTTTGTTTTAAACCAACATTTTGACTTAAAATTTTTCTATTTTATTTTTAAACCAAAACATCCAAACCACACGACATTTTAAGTGTAAAGGAAATAACGTTTTGGTTTGGAAATTTCCTGTGAGAGAACCAGCGGTTTTGTCTGAATTAATACTGTCCAGGGGAAAACTTTGGTTTCCACACAATTGTTTTTTGCAGTGGGAAAACTTTCCCCATGAAATACTAGAGACATAAGGTGGGTGAGGTAATGTGTTTTATATCAGACCAGCTTCTGTTAGTGAGAGAGACAACTGTCGAGCTTACACAGAGACCTAAGGAAGAGCTGTGTGTGGATTGAAAGTTGGTCTCTCTCACCAACAGACGTTGGTCCTATAAAAGATATGACATCACCCACCTCGTCTCTCTAGTATCCTGGGATTGACACGGCTGCATCAGGACGAAGAACGTCAACTGGTTTTATTTAATATTAGGTAAGATTAAGTGTGTGGGTAGCTGTCTTTAATACAGTGTGACAGCTGGAAAGGAAGAGAAGCTAGCACTGCTCGGCCAGGCAGCTCTGCAGGCGCTCTGCGGCTCACTGGTGGTCCATATGCCACAGTTAGAGAGTCTCTGGTTTGGAGCCAGGGACAAGATAGTTTAAGGGGCGAGTGCTGGCCTGGTGGATTTCCCTGGCTGCCTCTCTTCCTCCCCCTTCTTTCCCCCAAATCTCCCCTTCCTACAGCTTATAAATTGACTAAAAAATGTCCTTGATTTGGTTGCAATATTTTATTTCCCAAGTAGCTCCCCTGCCTCTTCCCCATGGGTAATTCGTACAAACACCCTCCCGCCTTTCCTGTTCTCTCCCTGCAGGTATCTGCAGCTGCTGTCCCAGACTTGGATTTATACTTCTCTGGGATGATCTCTGGACCAGGCTTCTAGCTAGCAGCTGCTGGCTAGGGCAGGGGAGGAGCAAGTGGAAAGGAGGTAGGCGTGTGGTGCAGCAGGCTGAAGTGTGACTGGCAAGTCCAGGCGGGGATAGTGAGGTTCTTGCTGGCTCAGAGCACTGCACTGAGAGCTGCTCTCTAGAGGTCATGCTGCTGTGAAAGAACATCCTCCTGCTGCAGCATGAGTGCCCGGGCTCCAGGGCAGATACTGCAGGGTAGGTGGGGGCTGCTGCTCTTGTGTCTGGGGAGGCTGTGGGGTGTAAGCTGGTTAGTAATGGGTTTGTTGTTTGGTATCTAGGTGGCAGAGATCAGACAGTCCTTTCTCTTGGACACTCACTCCTGCTGCTGGTGCAGCTTTACATAACATAAGAATGGCCATCTAGCCCAGTATTCTGCCTTCTGACAGTGGCTGGTGCCAAGTACTTCAGAGGGACTGTACAGAACAGGGCAATTATCTAGTGATCCATCCCCTGTGGTCCAGTCCCAGCTTCTGGCAGGCAGAGGTTTGGAAGTGCACAGAGATGAGTGTTGCATACACAGTATTGTAGAACAAGGATTTCATGCCAGTGTGAGTTTAACTCTCTCTGTACTTAAATTTCTTTCTTTGCAGAGGGGTGGGTCTAGTGGGTGCTCAGTAGAACTAGGGAAGGGGGAATGGATGCAGGACTGGCTGTGGAGTGGAGTCCCTGAGTAGTGGAGCTGTCTTCCTAAAGCTTCCCCAGCCTCTTTTATCTCTTTGCTACTAGACTGACAGACCTGGGAGCGGGTGTGGGGAATGGAGGCTCTGAGTCAGACAGTAAATTCTTCAGGACCGGACTCTTGCCTTGTTCTGTAAAATGCCACGTTCACTTCTGGCGCTCTGTAAACAATGGTTATCAGGGGTTGGATCACTAGAACAGTTCTATTACTAAAACTGACGAGTATCTGGTGACTGAAGCTGGCTCTGAACTGGTCACAAAATATTCACAGACCATGTCCTAGCCCAGCCCATGAATCTTGTGCAGTGGGGACTTGGAAAGCAAAGAATTAAAAATGTCAGACCCAATGCAGCAGGCATGCTATTGTATTCCTCCCAGGAAGGGGGCATTCAAATGGCTGGGTAGATTTGCTATGGGGATCGTGTTTCCTCTTCGCCACTCAGGAAGTTTATTTTAGTGTGTGTCTGTCTGTCTCCCACCCCAACCCCATTGGAACTACGTGGATGTGATCCCACTGTTGAGAGCCATCTGAGCACACATAGGATCTTTCCCAGCTTCTTCAGGTTTTACTTTTTAATCAATGAGAAATAATTGTCTTTATTTAAAAACACCTACTGTATCTGTTTCACCCCCTTCTCTAATACTTCAAAATGCAAGGACATTTTTGTGTTGGGGAAAACTTTGTTCATGTGGGATCAACTAACTGGCTAAGAACATAAGAGGTTACCACGGTAACAAGCTTATTCATTTCCTTTCTGGGGTATTTGAGAAATGTGCCCTTTTGACTTGTGTTTAACTTCCCCTACTCCAGTGCTTCTCTTCTCTCAGCCCTGCCCTGCAATCTGAGGGTAAATGTAAAAACAAGTGATAGGGTTCTTCACTGATTGTTTTGGCATTGCTTTTGATTGTGAGAATGAGATACATGTTGGAAGCCAGTGAAACCAATTAGTTCGCCCGTTGCTGCTCTTGTTGATGTCAAACACTTAGTGTGGTTTTGATGAATCCAACAGAAAAACGGTCTATGCTGCTTGAAAGAGAAGTGAGCTTTATGGTTAAACAACAAAACCAGCATGTGGGGAGAGGACTTTATTAACCATGTGTTAAATTAACAAATTATAAAGCACAGTTTGCAACGTAAGCATGTAGCTGACGCTGTATGTACAAAATATCATTGCAAAACTAGTGTGATACTTAATTGCATGCAGTTGTAGAATGGGCTATTTATGGGGCTAAACCCTGTCATGATCTATAGAATCACAGACCTTCTTATACAGGAGGCATTTATTAAAGAAAGCAGCTAAAACTAAAGACCCAAACAGGCTTCCACAAAGCTTGAGTTCCCACTTTGTTGACCAACTACCACACTTTGGAACTCTGTCCAGCACACAGAGACATCTAGTGGCTGAATAATATACTGCAAATAGACATTGCATTTCAAGCCCTCTCCTCCATGAGTACAGGAAGCCCTGTCTGCAGTAGAATCCCTGTTGAGGAAGAGGGAGAGGAAGGATTTCAGGAGCTTGTGCAGGGACTGCAGAACCCAGCTCCCAAGGGGCTATCACCAAGGCTGACCATAGCTCCTCAGGGACGAGGCCAGTGTATCCAGTCCTCAGGCTGGAGTAGTGGCTACAGAGACGTTCCCATTCTGTTTGTGCTCTGAGGACTGTTGAGAAGATCTCTAGGCCAGCTGTTTGGGCTGGTGTCTGGAAACAAGATTTGCCCCTAAAATTAATTAACTAAAAAAAAAAAAAGAATGCCATCCCCCACTCCTACACCTACCTGTGCACATGGACTTAGTGTTGCTCAGAGCAATATGGACTCAATTGTGAGTCTCAGCTGCTTACAGAGTAGGACCCTAACCATCCTAAGGGTGGTGCCCAGAATGTGTGCTGAGGGAGCCAAGGACACATTTGTTTAACTGATTCCAGAGGAAGCAAGTAATTACTTCAGAGCTACATGTTAACTCTGCAATAAAGGGCTCTTCCTCTGAGGAAGGCATTTGCCTATGAAGGATGTATACTTTTGTGGGGTTATTTCTCAGTGACGGGAAATGTTTCCCAATGGGCTTTTATTAAAATGCTCGTATTTCAGCTCATTTCCCCCTCACATAGACCATGTGCCCTAAGACAAGGATGTCAAGACAAGGTGAACAGGATGATCACACGGGCGGCTCTCTTCAGTGGGAAAATGTTGCTAGTGCTGGGGACCTTGTCTATGTTATGCTGGCTTGTTTCCGTCCCTTAAAGAAAAGATATATCTTCCTGTTGGGAGCAGATGATCAGCCTTTGTTTCCTCCTATCCATGCAAGTTTAACATGTTTTTCTTCTTGCTAAAACCCATTGTAATGTCCTGTCGTATCCACTGTGAATACCTCGGACACCTTTTGAGGGGCTCAACGTACTTCACCTAAGTTATGATGACGATGACAACTTTTCATTATTTGTATTACAGTGCCTAAAGGGCCCAATCAGGGACCAAGGCCCCATTGTGCTAGGCATAGTCCACAGATGTAATAACAAGAGGATCCTGGCCCCATAGAGCTTATAATCTTAGCATATGATAAGACACAGAGAGGCTACAACTAAATGGGGGTAAGGACAAACTAACAGTGAAATGTTCATGCTTAATATAACTAGCAGCACTTAGAGCACACCACCAGCAGGCTCAGATTCCCCTGCTCTGATTTACAGGACAAGCGTGCTGGCCTCCGAGCTACTCTACATGTGCTTACTGACAGCATTCAAGAGTGAAACTGAGTTGCTCACATGAATCAGTTGTTTTTTCATTAGTTCATGTTATTTTTTCTTGAGCCTGTCAATCAGGACAGTGAGTAATCAGACACGTGCTCTTCAGTAATAATTATTTTAACAGAATCGGCAAGCCGCCAAGCTGCATTCTCTCTGTGTTTATATCAGGCTTATTAATCACATCAGCTGAAGCATTTGGTTCCTGCCTACTGACGTTCCATGACTTTTCGCAATGCTTCCAGAGTTTCTGTGCTGTCCTGTAATTTGTTGCGAGGCGCCGAGGCCAGTTCTGCCTTCAGATACATGAGCACATCTCTCATTAACGCCAGCGGAAGCAGTGCCCAGGTAGCTTAAGTATGTGAGTCTGAGATGTTAGAATGGGCTTCTCCAAAGAAATTGCCCGCCCGCCTGCCTGAAAATTCTCTTGTGTGAAGAGAAACATGTTTCAGAGGATCAGTCTGATGACTAGATTAGGGCTAGGCCTCCCCGTAATGTGTTAGAACTTGTAAGAAGGTAGAAAAGGTACAGAAGGGGTTTCTTTGTTGGGGGACTGGGCATGTGCCAAGCTCTGCAAATACATCCCTATCCCTCAGTTCAAAGGAGGCCACCACAATCACATCTGAGCATTGTTATTCCCTGCCAACTGTGGGGCCACTGCTGTCTACAGTGCCCTGGCAACATGACTCCAATGGAGTCATGCTTTCAGGGTTTCTTTCGTTTACAGCAGCCCGTGGTCCCATCCATTTGGGGACATTCCAATGGGAGGGGACGGTGGTTGCCGAAAGTTAACACAGCTTGCGGATGGAGGATGGTCTTGTGTTTAAGGCATTCAACTGAGTCTGGGAATCCATTCCCGTCTCTGCCACAGATTTCCTATGTGACCCTATGCAAGTCACTTAATTTATTTCAGCTTGCTATCTGTAAACAGGGTTAGTTGTACTTCCATAGCTCCCAGGGGTGTTGGGAGATTAATGTTTGTGAGGTGCTCAGCTCACTGTGGGGGCAGTATAAGTACTTTGATGGAATATTTTGCAGTGGAGTTCCTCCTGGGTGCCATGCTTTGGTCAAGGGAGGGAGGTGCCACTGAGATATCTGTCTGCCTCTCTCCGTATTCTTAAATCCATACATGGAGGAATGGTTCTAGGAGAATGATCTCCCAGTAACAGTTCTCTGGAAGTGCTTTGGGTTAACTGCCAGTCTAAGGTAGTGTCCTTTCTCTGCTTTCAATCATAAGTTGTGTGTGTGTGTGTGTGTGTGTGTGTGTGTGAGAGAGAGAGAGAGAGAGAGAGTCTCATGAATGTTGGTGAGGAGAAATGTAGGTGGATATTTTGTATATCACCACAAAAACTGTAAAATGTGCATTCCCAAATGCCATCCCCTGGGAATCTGTTTTACTGATCCCACTTGTTTAATATTAAAGATTTTAATATTGGGAAATGAGTAGTATGAAGGGTCAAGTTACTTAAACTTAAAATGTCAGAGCAAGTTGGTGGTAGATTGGAAATAGAACCCAGGAGTCCTAAAACTCAGTCCCTTGCTCTCACTACAGGACATGCTACCCTGATTAATTATTATGATATTGTATTCATTCACTGACCTTATTTCTTACCCTTCCATAGCTAGTAATGGGTGAGAAATTTTGAAACTGCATTAAAAGTGTTCACATTAATTGATTTAATTGGTAAAGATTTTTTTGCACCTGCTGTGACCTTCTTCCCTTGATGAAATTGCAGGGGCTTGGTAACCTTTCTGAGACAAAGTACATAGCTGTATTGGCAGAAAATGCTATTTCCAAGGTGCATAATGAACTTGGACCAGGATTAGGGAATTGAAAGCAAGAGGTGAGAACAGACATTGAAAATGGAGTCAGACCAAAAACAAAGTGTTTCGAGCTCAGTGCATTCCAACAGTTCATCTGCAGCTGTGTGACGTGACTGCAGTTGGGAAGCTTCCCACTGTAGAAGGCTTCAGAAGGGAACATTTGACACTGAGGGCAGATTTTACTTTCCAAAACTGCATGAAAAATTGAAAGCAAGCAAAAACAGTGGTATCTCAAGAGTGTATAATGTAAGTGATCAATTTTAATAGTGAAGATAGCTATTGACTCATGCAGCTATAATTCATAGTTTGTAGAAGCTTTTAATTTCAAACACAGTTTTGGTCAAAATAGCATTGACCTTGAATTTTGTTTTCACAGATCTCACTGCAGTGGAGTGTGATCAACCAGCAGTAAGTAACTTTCCCCCTCTAGATAATGCACTTGTTTATTACATAAATTTAAAAACAGTGGGGGGCAGGCAAGGAGGATAGTGCTAATTCAATTCTTCCAGCATGAACTTTCTAAGAACCTTGCTGTACTTACTTGGGCTTTTTCCCTGCTCAGGACTGCACCTTACCAAAAGTAATACCATTAAAGTCTTCTGATGTGCTTCAATTTATGGTCCAATCCTCAACTGCGTGAAACGCCTATTGGAAACAATGGGAATTCAGCACAAGTCAGAACTGCAGGATTCAGCTGTGGATTCTTTGCAGAGAGATGTGTGTTAATAATTCCTAAGCTGGAATGTGTTATGAGGGGCACTGGTAATTACAGTAGTCAGAAAACTGGCAAAACTTTACTAAAAAGTGAATAGAAAAAACACCCCTAAACCGAGGCCATCTTGATCCAAGTTAGGGCATGTCTACACCGGCAGAGTTACAGCCCCACTCAGAGAGCGTTGAAGGGAAACTGCTGTTGTGTGTTCACACTGTCAGCTGCCCGCTCAATAGCATGTTCACAGTTGTGGCGCTTGCAGCAGTATTTGGAGCGGTGCACTCTGGGCAGTTATCCCACAGAGCATCTCTTCCTCTTCTGCCGCTAAGAGTTGTGGGAAGGTGGAGAGGGTCGCGGGGCACACTGGCTCCTGTCCCAATGCCCCATGATGCATTGCTTCACCTCCCCGCAATCCCTGTGCTTCTGTCTGCATTTGGAGCCCTCTTTCAAGGGTTTGTGTACTGCGCGGTCTGCCTCTTTGGGCTGCAGGAATGGATCCCGAATTGTTGACTAATATGGTGCTCGCTCTGACCAACACGTCACGAGTGGCAGTGTAGTTATTCCTTTAACTACAAAGGCAAGAGGAGTGCGACATTGATCTCGCCACACGTACTAGCTAAGACACGAGATGGCTTGTGGCATTCACGGAGGTGCTGACCACAGTGGAACGCCGCTTTTGCGCTTGGGAAACAAGCACTGAGTGGTGGGATCACATCGTGATGCACGTCTGGGATGACGAGCAGTGGCTGCAGAACTTTTGGATGAGGAAAGCAACATTTATGGGACTGTGTGATGAGCTCACCCCAGCCCTGCGGCACAAGGACATGAGAATGAGAGGTGCCCTGCTGTTGGAGAAGCATGTGACAATTGCACTGTGGAAGCTGGCTACTCCAGACTGCTACCAATCAGTCGCTAATCAGTTTGTAGTGGGAAAGTCGACTGTTGGAGTTGTGTCAACGGAAGTCTGTAGGGCCATTAATCGCATCCTGCTCCGAAAGACAGTGACTCTGGGACATTGTGGATGACTTTTCACAAATAGGCTTTCCTAACTGCGTAGGGGTGATAGATAGCACGCATATTCCAATTCTGGCACCAGATCACCTAGCCATCAAGTACATTAATTGCCAGAGGTATTTCTCAATGGTTCTCCAGGCGCTTATGGATTACCATGGGCATTTCACAGAAATTAACGCAGGCTGGTCCGGAAAGATGCATGACGCATGCATCTTTCAGAACACTGGCCTGTTCTGGAAGCTGCAAGCAGGGACTTTCGTCCCAGACCAGAAGATCACTGTAGGGGAAGTCAAAATGCCTGTTGTGATCCTGGGAGACCCCGCATACCCCTTAATGCCATGGCTTATGAAGCCATACATGGGGCAACTTGACAGCTGCAAGGAGCTGTTCAACAACAGGCTGAGCAAGTGCAGAATTACTGTTGAGTGTGCTTTTTGCTGTTTAAAAGTCTGCTGGTGCTGCCTCAATGGGAACCTGGACTTGGCTGATTACAATATTCCTATGCTTATAGTCGCGTGCTCTACGCTCCATAATATTTGTGAAGGGAAGGGTGAAAGCTTCACTCAGGGCTGGACCACAGAGGCTCAGCCCCTGGAGGCTGAGTTTGAACAGCCAGAGACCAGGGCTATTAGAGGGGTGCAGCACGGGGCCATAAGGATCAGGGATGCCTTGAGGCAGCAATTTGAAGCTGAAAGCCACTAATATTCTTTATGATGTTTGGGAGTGCAGTGCTTGTAATGCTAGGAAGTGATTGGTGCAGACGATGCAATATGTGGATTTAAAATAATTGTATGTTGCTCTGCAGGGCTCTTTTTGCTTTCAATTAATAGAAAAAAGATTGCTTTTAAACCAACACAATTCTTTCATTAAAAGGCAACAACCAGAGGAGAGAGTCAAACCAAAAAAACCATTTGCACTGAGGGGGAAGGGAAGGTCCCAGGAGGAGGAGGGGTCCTGGGATGGCTAAAGATTTGTGTATGTCCAGGAATCATATCCAACCTCCTTTGGAGTACAGTGCAGCAGGTACTGTACTTCAGCTGGGCCAAACTGTACAGCGATGGGTGTTGAGTGCAGTGGGTACTGGGAGTCCGCAGTGCTGGATTGTGAGGGGGGAGGAGTGGAATGCCATGGGTATAGACTGGAACCAGGAGGTTGATAAGAGTGTGTTGGCAGTCTCTGCGGGGCACATGGGAAAGTGTTTTGCGACAGCGGCTGCAGGGGAAGGCGGGTGCAGAGCTGGTTTGAAGAGCTAGTATTGCCTGGAGCATGTCTGCTTGGTGCTCCATAACCTTTAAGAGCCGCTCCGTGGCTTTGTTCTGGAGTGCCGCATGCTCCTTTTGATCCCTCTTCTCACTGTCCCACCACTCCTTCAATTCCTGTTTCTGCATCATAACATCACACAGAAAGTCCTCCTTAGTTCTTCTTGGCTGTTTTCTAATTCTGCGCAGCCGTTCAGTCACCAATAACAAAGAATGAGCCTGGGCTCCCAGTGTCATCTCTGTGAAGTTTAAATGCAACATTTTACAGAAGCAGTATTGTTTGCAACACAGAGAACACTGATTCAGTGATTTAAATCAGAGCCAGTACTCTCATACCTCTCACTAACTGGCTGACCCCAGGCAAGCACACATGAGCCACAAGACCCACAAAATGGTGAGTAGCCGCAGGGTCAGGGTAAATCACTCTTCCCAGACCCTGCTGTACACTGGGCACATGGCTCTTGGGGAGAGCCAGCACTGTAGTCGGGGGCTGATAATCATTCCTGTCCCCACACTTTCCACAGGCTGTGTTCATTATGGAAGATATCTTGCTGCTGAGGGTGAGCAGGGAATCAAGGGAGGATCTTCTCCCAGCCTGCAGCTTCCACCCCGGCCCCTATGCAGCTCGCCTGTGTGCAGCAATGGTTCCCCCGCCCCCTGTGATATCACAGTGGCATGGAAAAGTTACTGTTAATGGGGCAAGAAACAAAGCAGCTCTGCCAAAGAACCTGCAGCAGTGGATTGCCCAGTATCTCCAGGAGAGTTTCCTGGAGATCTGAGGGAGATTCCCGTGAAGTGAGAGAGTCAATCAACAGCCTGTTTTGCTGCTGAGACTAGGCATATGGTGGGAGACAAGCCTGCTTTCTGCAACCCTCCTGCCCCCAACAACTCACTTCAGCGATTCCCAAAATCAGACCCGCTTACCAGGGGCCTCCTCTCCTGTTTGCACTTCACCACTCTGCAACAGCTGTGACTGGCTACCCTCCTCTGGGGTAGAAAAGAGCTCCTGGCTGCATGCATCTCTGGCCTCCGAGTCATCCTCTGCCTCTGGGTCCCCCTCCCCCTCCACATCCTCGTCCAAGATTTCCTCCTCCTGGCTCGGTCCACTTCCGACTGGCACTTGAGCCACCGTGGAGGTGGGGTCACCACCGAGTATCGCGTCCAGCTCTTTGTAGAACCGGCAGCTCGTGGGCACAGCACCAGAGTGGCGGTTTGCCTTCTCCGCCTTGTGGTAGGCGTTCCGCAGCGCCTTCACTTTGACCCTGAACTGCACTGTGTCCCAGTCCTGGCCCCTTTCTGTCACGCATTGTGAAATCTGTCTGTAGGTATCACAATTCCTAGAGCTGGAGCGCAGCTGGGGCTGCACAGCTTCCTCTCCCCAAATGCTGATGAGGTCCAGCAGCTCAGCATTGCTCTGGGTGCGTGGAGCAGGCATGGCCACCTGGTAAGATGTGCTGAGACCACTGCACACAGCGCCAAGCAAACAGGAAGGGGATTTTCAAAATGCCCCAGGAATTTACGGGGTGGGGATGACGGTTGGTCACCTGAGGGCAGGGCAGTAGAATTCAAACCGATGAGCAGAGAGGTGAGAACAGGCCTTGTGGGACCTCCTGGAGTCCAATCGCAGCGCTGTAATCCACCAGGGCGTCTACACCGGCACCGCAGTGCTGTAGCCTTGGCGCAGAAAGCTCGACGGCCTCTCATTGGGGTGGGGTTTTTTTACAGCGCTGCAATTGCGGAGTTTCTGTGCACTAAGTGACTTGGCAGTGTGTACACCTCAGGAGTTACAGCTCAGAAAAACGTAGACTGGACCTTAGAGTGCTGCTGTGCTTTGAGCATTCAGCTCATGAGCTGTAACAGGAATTGTGCAGAACTCAGCCTATACCCCAGGAATGGTAATGTCTTCTCTTTGCCATTATCTTCACTATAGTAGTTTCTTCCTCTTTTTAATCATAATAATATATTCACATTACAGTAGCAGCCAAAGGTCCCCTCCATGACCCCATGGTGTTAGGTGCTGTATGAAGAGAGAGGTGTAGCCATGATTCCTGCTCGGAGCAGTTTTCTGCCTGCTATTGTGCTGGCCATACAATGTGAATTTCTTTGTTTTATGGCATTTGACATTAGGCCAACTCTTAAAGGGTCAGCAAACTACTAAAGCATCAGGAAATAGAGAGACAGTGCCCGCTGTGTTGTAAATTATCTATTGGACAGGCTGCCAGACCCTCCTTTCCACTTGGACAAAAAGTGGATTTAGTTATGCACATTCACAAGTACAGCATAAAGAAAGATCTGAGTGCTTTTCGCATACGTTTTCTAATGCGTGGAGTGCCTAAAGCTTGCACAGGGCTGCCAGGATTAGGCCAATCATCCTGTGTCATGAGCCCAATTGTTAAAAATGGCTATTTCTCACATGGTCTGTTGGCAGAGGTGGTGAACTACAGGCTTCTGAGTTTGGAACTTCTACCTAGTGTGGAACAAGTCACCCCAAACATTCTACTCAGTAGTATAATATATTGTACCAGTTCCACCATCTAAAGCTGGAAGATCCCTGTCCCTGTTTTTATGTAATTCTGTCCTCTGCCCAAACCTTTCTGTAATGTCATACACTAAAGAATCCCAGGGGTTTTGCTGTGTCTGCTGCAGAAGCCATTGTAGGACCCTGCAAGTCACTCCCCCAGATGCTAATTTTCAGTGTTTTTCTTGTGTTTTCTGGTTAGAAGCTGCCCCTTTTAAAATTCCCCTTGAAGGAGTTAATAATCTCTACAGCTTCTCTATCATGATGTTGGCTTCAAGTTAATCAGTGACAAGATCTTAAACTTCCACATAATGTAGGATCCATGCCTGTTTTTTTAAATTAGAATTATAGGTGTATTATTCCCTGTCTGGAGGAGTTGCCCTGAGGAAGGGAAGTAATCTGGAGTCTCACATAGCATGGATCTCAATTGTTTCTTAAAGTGAAGGCTAGATTGACTGGCGAGCATGCCGTCTCCTGGTGACTTGTTCTTATTAACACTTTTTAGGGTGCTGCAAATTTCAGCATCAGTTTATTGGCCTCTTCCAGACCTGAGGGAAAACTCTGTGTGGCTCGAAAGCTGGTCCCTTCCACCCACAGAAGCTGGGCCAATAAAAGATATTACCTCATCCACCTTTTCTCTCTCGCTGGCTTTTTAAGCATCTCTCTGTAAATCGCCTTCAATGTAATTAAATTTAGAGTTTGTTTTTTCCCCTCCTGATTCTGATTTACTTTGTTTACATTTAGCTATTGAATATAAGAGAATTTTCACTTTAGTTTGGAGTCTTTTCTCCCTGCCAGGTCCCTGTGGATTAGCCAAGTCTGCAGATACCTCAAAGGAACATTGATTTGTTTGTAAAAAAAAAAACAAAAAAAACACCACTGTTTCGACTAGAATTTGGAGAAGTTCCTGGAGCTGTTTCTGTTGGCCTCAGGGTCTGGAGTAGCTCATTTTAGGGTAGACCTGGCCTTTTACATTTGTCTTCTAGGTGGCCATTCATTCAATGCTGCTTGTCAGTACTCTCCTAACATCCCCCACTGTCCAGCCCCTCCTGCTTTCATAAAATCCCAAATGGCAGGCCAGAGCATGGCCTGCCCCTGCATGGGTGCTCCGGGGAACAGGGCACAGGAAGTACGTGCCATGGTGTCAGCTGCTGTCACACTCCTGGCAAGTTCTTGCCCCCATCTCTGCACCAGCCAGCAAAGTTAGCAAACCCTGGTGCATTCCTGTTAGGGTATAGTAGCAGCTGCACTGTCCCTGCACATCAGGAAGATACAGGGATATTTTCAATTTTTTCCTTCTACCCTGACATCTTAGTTTTTCACTGATGTAAAGATATTTTTCTAATGGTACCATTTTATTTTTTTAAATTTATTTTTCTTTTCTTAGGAACAAAAATCTTTAGTACCCAAGTCAACGAGCAGGAGCTGGACACAAAGTCCTACTTCATCCTATTACCCCCCGCAATAGTAGATCTGGAACTGATATGGTAGTTCCCTTACAGATGTCCTCCATTTGTACTAAAGATACATTATAATTATAATGTATAATACCCAGCTATGACGTAGCACTTTTCATGTGTAGATCTCAAAGCACATTACAAAGAAGGTTACTACCATTTTACAGATGGGAAATTGAGGCATAGAGAATGGACACGATAGGCCCACGGTCACTCAGCAGGTCAGTGGCAGAACTGGAAATAGAAATCCTGGTTTCTCAAATCACCATCAGTTGCTCTATTTGCTACACCACTTTGCCTCTTATATTATTTCACAAGTAGAAGTAGAAATGGTTGAAATTTTTTGAACAAGAATTTTCACTGAAGAATGTGGGGTCTTATTTAAACAACATGTTGTGGAAAACTGTTGACTTTTTGGAGGTGTTTCTTTTTTGTGATTTTAGTGAAAAATATTGATTAAAAGTTGTGAATATTTTAATAAAAAGGAAAAAAAGACCTCGTTGGAACCTTGTAAAATAAGAAAAATCTGAAATTTCAAATTTTTGGGAGATTTATTTTTTTTAAATTCAACCAGCTCTAAATAGGTGTTTTTCCCCCAGAGTTTTACTGAGCCTCCACGAGGCTGATTTGTACATTATAGGTTTTAGGTACTTAACCTTTCATAAAAAACAGTTAAGAAGAAATCTTGGAGCTGGTTTAAGACTATCTTTTGGAAATGCCACCCATCTTGCTGAGGTAATATAAACCAGAATTCTTTGGAGCTGGTATGTGAAAAGGGAGGGAAAACTGCCTTGATCAGTCTTCTAACCATTTGCCTATTTTCAGCTATAATCAGGTTAGCACGTACTATAGTTACCCCTGTTTTATGTTACTCATCAGAGGTTAAAATGGGCAAGCTATATTTCACAGCTTTAAAAAGGCATAGAGTGTGACTACTCAGAGCTGAGAGTTGGGATTTTGAGCTGCCGGAAGCTGGGGCACACAACCATTAGCTTTTAGTCAGGAAATCCTAACTTGCTGGGGCTTGAGAGTGCAGGATTTTCTGCAGAGTGCTCTGTGCATCTTTGGTTACAGCAGTTCCCTTGATGGCTTTCCACCATTCTTGTCTCTGGATTGTTTGGAAAGCGCACATCAGGAAAGTAGTTCATTTGAAGGACTGCAGAGATTTCCTTCTTCACTTGATCCTTTCATGAAATTTTCACTAGGATATAGTTGTGGTTGACTTCCTCTGTGTAATCAAGAGGGGCAAGTTTATGGCTGTGGCATCTGTAAAACCACACACCATGTCCCTGCCAAGGCTGTCTGAAAATGTCTAATAGTGGGGAGACTGATTTATTCACTGAGTTCTTTGTTCCTTTACCCCTCTTCGATCTAGCTACTGCGTCTCATGCATTTAATAATAATAGGAGCTGGCAGGGGTGGGAGAGCATAGCAGCCTGGTTTATCAAAGTTGCGGAAGCTCACAAATCCAGTCCTCCAGAGTGTAGGTTTGAGGCCAACATCTTTCATGTCTCTCTTCAATGACCCACTCCTTTATTTATATAGAATTAGGGTTTGTTCTTGATGGGCCTGATACAATGATGTCAACAGAGAGACTCCCACTGACTAGAGTGGGCTTTGGCTCAGGCCCCAAAAGATCATTGTGAAATCTGAACCTACCAAGCCCTCAGTCTGGAAAGTGGGTTCTTCTTTTCTTGTATTGATCACCCATGCAGAACCCATCTATCCAGGCCATACAGGTGGAAATATTGGTCCCCCTGAGGTCAATGGAAATTTTGTCTATAGTGTTTTTTATGTCAATGCATAGTCTCATTCCATTCTCTTTTCTGCCTTTTCAGTTCCCTTTGCTGCTGGTGGTCTTTGTCCATTTTGATGTTATACAGTGTGATTGGATGGGAGAGGAAATACTCTGACTATTCTGCAGGTTTTATAGTCTGAGAGACCAGAATCTGTATGTGCAGCTCCCATTGACTTCCAGGGATATGCCCGCACTTTGTGGAGAACTGGAAAACTCTTTTATGACTCAATTTCTCCTCTCCTTGCATGGTTACCTGCCAGGTGTGAAGGTTTTTTTCTTGAAATAAGACAGGGCATGCAGTCTCTGAGGGGGAAATCACTATCTGTAAATGAACTATCAAGAATTAAAATCACTGGGTGATGGTAATTAATGCAAATCCTTACATGTGTCCCCAGAAGTACCACCCCCGGGGGAAATTCCATATCTTGGGTTTGCCCAGGTTCAAGAGGCCCAGCAAACAAAGAACTGGGAATTGTATAAAGTGATAAACCCAGCAAGGGGTCATTCACTTGATGAAAGAACTGAAATGACAGCGTGGCCAAGAGGTTTGAGATCCTGCCGAAGGGGTTTGAAGGACTTTGAAACTCACCAGGAACTCCATGTAGAAGGTGGGTGATGCCTGGCAAAACAGGATGCACATAAGCTGTTCCTTGTTTTCAAGATGTGTTTTTTTCTGTAATGCTAGTGTTCTGAATAAATGTTTTTGCTTTATGAAGGCTGGCTGCTCACTGGCTAACCCTGTCGTCATCCCTGGGAGTGAACAGGATGGCAGGTACTAAACTGAAGTCAGACTTGCTAAGGTGATCACAGTGAGTTGCAGGAGGAAATAGCAGCCTTAAATCCCTGATCTGGAGGAAGAGGAATGCAGGGGGTGCACATTCCCCAAGCTGTCTTTTAGAGTTAGCAAGAAGCTGCCTATCATCTTAGCCAGCAAGGGAACATTGTCTGGCCAAAGATCTTGTGAGCCGTGAAACTCTATCTTGTCTGTTGACCTCTTAGAATACTGTTCCTTAAGGAAAGCATCTCAAGTCACTGGGACTGTTTGTGAGAGCTTGTCCGAAGCTTGTTTTCAAAGGCAGCCTTTTGCTAATTTTTGAATCTTCATTCCTGATGAAAGCTTGCAGAAGTGACTTGGAGCCAGCAGCCTAAGGTGCAGCCTCCTCATTAGCTCCCTCAGGTAAGATAATCAGGGGGATGGTGAGGTTCCACTTCATTCTCTTGTTGTTGTCTGGGATGATCTCATTGTCTTATGAAATCAGACCCTTTTGCATCCTAGCAGAGGTCTGCATTTTCTGTACCTCTTCTATCATAGACCTTTGTTAGTTTTCTAACCTTTTCTGCATTGGTCAGTTGTGGATAAGAAACTGGAAACACCAAAAGAGAAGCCTGTGTTAATGCATTTAATGTTCTAGGGATGAGGGGGTTTTTGGTTTTTTTCCCCTTTCTTCCAGTCATTGTGGTTTTACTTTCCTGGAAAGAAAACATGTTCCTGAGCTGCAAAATTTGGATCCATAGCCAGACTCCTTGAATTTCAGGCATGTTTAAATCTGAGTCTGACCACAATGAATAAATGGTTTGCTCAGTGTCTGTTATGAAAATGCTTTGTGTTTGATCAGATGGACCTTTTCCAGTTGGTGGGTCCAAAAATCAATTTAACCAGGATCTAGAAGGGTGGGGATGAGTCAAAAATCAGAATTCCAGGTCGACAATCAGCATGTAGATTTGTGCTCTACGTGTTTCTTCTTTCTCTACTGGAAAGTGCTGAAAACCTGGTGTGTTGGAATGAATTTTACAGTAAAAAGGATGCAAGAAGTGTTGGTAAAATTACCTATGCTTTACAGTCGTCGTTGTAGCCTGTTGATTACATGAGGCCCTGCCCAGAAACGCTTAGGCAATTCCTACTCAAGCTAAAACTCTTTTATTGACTTCAGTGGTAGCTCTGTCTGTGCCCATGGGGGTTCTGAAAGGTATTGTGTTTAAGTTCGGAGCCATAGTTCCGTTAGAGCTGAGAATTCATTGACCATGCTATAGCTAAGAGGGATTTTAAGGGGACATCAGTGCTGCAGCTGGGTATGAGCCTCCCAGCCCAAGCAGACATACATGCACTAGCTAGCGTGCTAACAGTAACAATGTGGATGTTAGGCCGGGGGGCTAGCTGCCTGAGTACAGGCCTGCCCAGCCCACCGGCTCCATGTTCAGGGGGCAAGGCCCGTGCATCTGGCCGCATTGCTATTTTTAGTATGCTAGTTTGAGTAGAGCTAGTGCATGTCTGTCTAGCTGGGCGGGGAGGCTGGGTCCCAGCTGCAGTGTGTTCATACTCGAAGAACCCACTTTTTTACCTGGTTAAAACCACTTGCCGATTTTCACATTAGCACCTTATTTTGGATTTGTATAACCCGGCATGTATTGCTGCATCCTTTGAGACATCAGTAGCTGATTTTCTTCTCTACCGTATGCTGGGAGAATATGACAGGAGCCACGAACACCAGATCAGAAGTGGAGCTGGATTTTTTGCAAACTTGATCGATCACGTATGTTTTTTTCCTTCATTTGCTCTCTGATGTATTAAGTACATTGTGTAGACCTGTTGGTATGAATATACAAGGGCACTAAACACTTGTAGGCTACTTTATCATGGCATTATCCTCGTGCTGATGCTGTCCCTTTTGAAATCAATGGAAAGACTCTCACTGACTTCACTGGAAGTTTGATGAAGACTTAATGCCTATATATTTTTAATTTTAATAACTCCCCTGCCCCCCCCCATGCTAGCTCGTAAAATTTCAGTTTAAAATACTCTATTTTTTGTGTTGCATTCAAGAATGTGTCTCCTTCCTGAATATATTTTTACATCCATGGAGTTTTTACTCAGCCAGGCTGTCATAGTGACCTGAACAGAGGTGGAAAAACTGTTTGTTTCCAGAGGTATTGCAGTGAGGTTGATGTGACTCACAACAAGGAAACTAGGGCAAACCATGCTCTCTGTTCACACCTATGAAAACTAAGGGCTTGCCAACAAGCTAGTATATCGGCTCCTTCACTCCTGAGTGTACATGCTGTACTGGAGAAAGGGAAGGAGATGACAATTACTTGTAATCGGATTATTACTGCACTGATCTCTTCTCATGTGTTTCTTCCCCCCCTCCCCCACAGTATAGGGGCTTGCTGGGACATAGGAGGGGAATAGGTTTTTTCCAGCTCTAAGCAGGAGGGATTCCCCGATGCTCCTTTTTCAGTGCTACTCGTGTACTCAGTATGTTGAAACTGAACGTGACCATGCCACTTTCCCTTTGGTGCTCTTGCTAGCACCCTGGGGAAAATGGCGTGTTTAGAAGTAGCAGCACCATGGTGATCCTGGGGAGAGCAAGTGTGGACCAAGGAGGGAGAAAGATGCACACACAAACACACACAATGGGAGTGAAGAGAGAGAGACACCCGATGGGACTGGTGGGGGAGGGGGACACACAGCGTGGGGAGGAAACCCACAAATGGGATGGTGGAATGGATTGACTGCTTAGTCAGGAAGGTATCCAAAGTAGTGGCTGATGATTCAGGTGTTGGTAGAACGGTTGTATCAATAAACACGTGGTCCTGAATATATTTTACGCTCTGATCAGCTACAGTGGGGTTTGTTTTCATCATCTTCATCCTTCATCATCCTCTATATAGTAGGTTTGATCAGAAAACAACCACAATAATGGGGTTTTTTTTACATATGAGCACAGTAGTGACCCGATAGCCTAGGATGCCCCTTCCAAGCTGCTTGGCTCAGCCGCAGCCTGCCTAAGAGCATGGGTACCATTTGCACTAGTATTACTTACTGAAGACCAAAACCTGAAGTTCCTCCTTAGTTCTAATCAGTCCTCCTCACTCAGGCAAACACCCCGTTCATCTCAAACACAGAGGAAGCCAGCTGACTTTGCTTTCCCATTCGCTGGTATATGAGGTTCAGCACACAGTTAATCAAATATTCCCTTCCCTTTGGGCTGACAAAGGTGCCTTAGAAAAAATGTTGTTCAGAATTCATTTACAGTGTTTCATCTGAAGCCTTAAACACTTACATTGCTTGAAGTGCTATAATTGGTTTCTGTTCTTTTCATCGAATTCCTGTAATTGTCGCCAGGGTAGTTCTGCCCCCACTACTCCCAGCATTTCACTGCAGTTACTGTCAAGTAGCCAGGGCTGTAAAACAGATTTTTGTATAAAACTTCCCCAGATCTTACCTATATCTAATCTATAATTCTGTATTTTATATTGGGATTATCACCATGGTAAAAACCTAGATTAATTAAAATAAGAGTGATTCTCTCTCTCTATGTATGTATATAAAATATATATTTTAAAGTCAATTAAAAGTGGTCTTTTATAATGAGACACATAAGGCCACAACATTCAGACATGGAACTTTCCAAACTTCAAGGTTGTTCAAACCTGGTGTTTCAGTTCAGTCCATTATGGTTCAGTCCATAACATTTGGTTTAAAATACAAACTTTTAATGAACGAGGCTGCTGTCTGTACTGCAGTTTGAAAGTTATTCACTGCTGGATCAAAGTTTGGATAACACAATCCCTTCAAAAACAGAGTTTTATTAATGCCCGGGTTTGGAAACACCGTTGTTGAACAACAATAGCTGTCATTTTGTGCACTCTGCTTCTTTGGAAAGAGGAAAAGCAAAGAGAGCTGTGGTTCCTAAACATATGTAGTCAGATACATCACCAGAAATTATAATCCTTGACCTAAATACATGCAGAAGTAAAGAAAGTTCTGTCTGAAGAATTGATGTTAACTTGCTCTGTGTAAATTGCTTCTGAATTGGCAACATGATGGAGAACCCAGGGCCAGTATTGTTTAGTTGTCCAGGGTCCCTAGAGAAAAGCTGGAAGGAGTAATGTTTTCAGCATTCTTTTTGTAGTTGGGTAGAAACTATATTCATCTGTAAAGGCAAATAATAATGGTCATGATCTGTTTACATGCACAAATAACATAAATGTAGGAGCCTATCCAAATACAGCGTAGCAATAGAAATGCACCAAAAAGGGGGGGGGGGGAAGAGGGGAAACCCGGCACTGGGATTACTTTGGAATAAATGTAATAAACAGGGCACTGAAATATTTTGATTAGAACCGAAGGGCAGCATGCTCTCCCTGCTGTGTAAAATGACACAATGGGAAAACTAGGATTTAAGGCATCTCCCTAAACTCTTGTCTTTCCTTAGATTGATTCACATCTGCACTAATTGTTATCTGCGCAGTTCACATTTGTTTTTCTTTTGTTAGCCTGTTTCCCTTTCTCTTTTTAAAGAATAGTTTATCCGCACACCCTGGAAGGGTGTTACTCATAAAGATCACAAGCTTTAGATCTAGCAAAAACATTGGCACGTTGACTAAAAAAACAATGCATGCTGAGGCTTTAAAACACAAGTGCCGCATTGCATTTGCACTGAGGCAGTAACTGCGTCTCTTGTTGTCCGTTGCCAGGGTTCTGCTAGATCTCAAAGTTTGCATTTCCATGGTCAACTGGCAAGTATATTTTAAAAGTAATCTACGCATTTGAGAATAACTGCGCTAGTATTTCAGTGTTCTTAATCGCCACTGTATTGCACTATGAAGGACAAAAATGTTAGGGCTTGGGTTTTTTGTTTTTGAGGGGGAATGTCAGATGGTTTCTATTTGTATTAGTTGTTGGTTAAAGATCAGGACTGGGAGAGACTTATTCACAGTGAGAGATTTATTCACAGCTCTGTCACTGTTCCTCTGTATGACCTTGGGCAAATCTCTTAACCTCTTTGTGCTTCGTCTTTTATCCGTAAAATATAGATACAGCTACAAGTCTTTACTTCACAGGGATGTTGTGAGGCATGTAAAGCATGCTGAGATCTTCAGATGGGAAGCAAAAGAGAAATCCAAAGTATAATTGTTTATGATTATTCAGTGTATATGGAAGCACTCATCTGTCTTTATTTTTATTCTCAAGGTGATTTTACAATGGATGGAAGAGCAGACTCGTTGGTGATGACTGTGCATCTTCTTGCCACCTCTGGACATTCATTACTCTTGCAGCAAACTCTTGATCGGCTTCTGGGGTGGATCTGCCTGGATGTTCGCCTCTTCCTCGTATCCGAACGTGTTACTCCATTGAAGTATTATGAGAAATATCGCCGGAAAAGCTCTGGATTTCCTGGGATGTCCATTCTCCTTTTCCTGCATGAGGACTTTGGGGAAGAACGGATTTTTCGGGTCCATGATTTTTTCCAGCACCCTCCATGGCAGGATCACCACATGCAACATGCTAATGGGAAACTGTACCCTTATGCACCTGCTAGTCAGGAATTTTATGGTCTGGATGAGCATATGCCTGTATGGGGTTTGCGGCAAGTTCATTATGGCACTGAAATTCTGCGTGTGACCCTCTACTGTAGCTTTGATAACTATGATGATGCAGTCAGACTTTATGAGATGATTCTGCAGAAAGAAGCATCTATGCAGAAGAGTAACTTCTGTGTCTTTGTGCTGTATGCAACAGAAACCGTTGCTGTTCAGCTCTGCTTGAAGCAGCTTCCCCCTGGGGTCTCTGTTGAACTGAAAGAATCTTCCGTGTTGCAATTCAAGGTGCACGAAATTGGGAAGCTGGTACCTCTTCTGCCTAATCCATGTATTCCTATCAGTAGCACCCGATGGCAAACTCAGGACTACGAAGGAAACAAAATCTTGCTTCAGGTATTGGGTTTTTTGTGTGTTTTCTCTTTAATTCAATAGGTGACTTGCTAGCAAAGAACACAGGGTCTGATTGGAAGATAGTTGTTTTACTATTATTTATTTCTTCCTTCAAATTTATAGAATATTTATAGCTGTCCATCCCATACTCTGGGTGCTTTCCCCATTAATAAAACCACACAAAGTAACGTAAAAAGATTGCCAGATATTTTTGTAATATCTCCCCCTGGGCTGATACGACATTGCGCAGTTAGACTTGATAAATGATAACCTGAAATGCAAGGCCTTTGCAGGCTGGTCTGTAGACAAAGTTGCACCCTCCGATCAAATTACTGTAAGTGCCTGAATTATTTCTTTATGATAAGGGTTTAGAGTGGAAAAGCTTTCAGAAGCTGATTTCTAGCTGTGCTATTGGGTGCCACCCGAGGAAGGGTATATTTGGGTGTATGGTATCCTTCAATTTTTGTGAATGTTTAGTTGTTCAACTGAGCTGTGAAACTGTACTGCCTAGGCTGGAGTGAATAAATCATAGTGAATAAAGGCTTGTTTCCATGGGTAGTTTTTTTCATGTTAACTTTTGGTTTTTTGGCTTAAACTGACTTGTGTTCACATGGCACAATTCTTTTTAGAATAATCTTGTGTCCTTTTGCAAATTAGATAATCCATTTTGAAAGTGGATTTAGTTCATTTCAGGATGAATTAGTCTGGAAAATGGTTCAAGTGGACCTGTCTGTATTTTGGATGAACTTTTCCACCTCTGGCAGTCCTCCTACTGCTATCCCACACTGCATTGCTTTACATTTGATTTGATCTGTCTGCCTACGTATGTGCACTTTACTGGTCTGGAAGTTGGGAATTTGCATTCGCATCCCCCTTGATATTTGCCAGGAAATCCACTTCAAACATATTGTCCCAAAAGTCCGTTCTTGTTTGGCACGTTGTTCAGTATAGTTCTGTGATCCTTCAGGCCTTACATTACATCTCCTGCCTAGAGGTTACATATGATCCCAGCCCACAATGACACACAAACTTTGCATTTAGTACAGTGGACCCCAAGCACACTTAATTCAGTAAGGTTTCTTCAAGGCTATGGCAGGCTAACATGCATATCAGATATTGTGCATATCTGTCACAGGTAGCATCCCCATTGTACGGATGGGGAAATGGAGGCAGAAAGATTAAAAGCTTGATATATTTGAGGACATTGTGAGAAGCTGGAGATAAGCATTACACACCTAACAGGAAGCACCCAGCACTTGGTGTTATTGGGCAGTAAATGAGTCACCCAGAGCTAGAAATGAAAAAAATGAATTCAGTGGCTCTGATTCTCCACGCACTTTAAATCAGTTTAACTCCCTTGACTTTAATGAACTAAGTCCTGATTAGCACCAGTGTGAGGGAAAGAATCAGGCCCAATAGCTTTTATAGCTATTTGAGGCAGGAACTTTCATTTAGTATATGGATGTATAGCACCTAACACAACAGGGCCTTGATCTGGTTGTAGGCTCTTGGCATTGCTGTAATACAGTAATAATTACTAAGAGTTAACTTTAAAATGGCTTCATCTTCAAATGGTGGACAGGAGTAAGAGCTATGGGAACAGGCCCAGTATTTGTAACATGCTTTTGAATCAATCTACCTGAATATTTTAGAAATGTCAATTTTGGGGTTGAAAATTTTCCACAAAAAAGTTTGTTTTCCAACGAGTTTATAGATTTAATAGATTTTTTTGAAAATTCAAAATTTCAATTAAAACATATCAACTAAGTGTATTGCTGAACTATTATTCCTTTTGGATCTAAATTACTCAGCATTTTCCATTTAAACATTTTTATGTCCTCGTATTTTCATCCATTTTCTCATACTTCTGTGTACAGTATAATTTGGATTATTTTAATAATTTGTAGCAATCCTGTGTAGTTTTAATTTTTCTCTGATTCTTTGGCAGAAGGATTTCGCCTTCATTTTTATTTTTTCTCTTTCTATTCCTTCTAGAGATTATTTGGTACAATTCCTGCTAATCCATGGCTAATTTCTACACTGATCTCTCACTGTTAATTCTCAATGCAGCTTTTGCTTTTAAGTGTTTGCACTTTTCATCCTGTCTCTCTGCAAATTAGGTGGCTACCCATTTGATGTAGGCAAGGGCTTCACTTTGACAGATGCATTTGAATTCCCTGGCAGGAGAGCGTTAGGATTTGTTTTTTAGCTGTGACTCATCCGCCTCCCGTCAAGGGAACTGGGAGCCAGTCTGAACTTGGGGTTTATGTTTTGTTTTGTTGCTTCGAGAAGCACATTGATATGCTGATAGTTTGGCATGAAGAGCCTGATCCTGTGACCCGGGGACTCTCAGATCCCACGAGAGGTAATGGAAGTCGAGGGCTCTCAGCACCTCCCAGGATTGTATTCTTCATGCTGAAGAAAAGACAGTATCCCTGGTTTGTCAATTAAGAAAAGGAACTAATCCTACTTAAGTCACAAAGGTTCCATATGATCCCTTGCTAATGACCAGTTAGCATTAGTTAGGGCATCTCCATGTTGAATGACTTTTTGGAAACCTATTTAATAGTTTGTCTCTGTTAAGGGATCACCTTCCTGCTTTTCAGTCTGTCCTCCCTGTTGCAGAACTTATCTTGATCAATTACAAGTATAAAATATCCTTGGCTTATCACGCTTACTAGTCCAGGGGTGGGCAAACTTTTTGGCCTGAGGGCCACATCAGGTTTCGGAAATGGTATGGAGGGCCGGTTAGGGGAGGCTGTGCCCTGCCCCCTATCTGCCCCCCCCTTGCTTCTCACCCACTGATGGCGCCCCCCCCCGGGACCCCTGCCCCATCCAGCCCGTCCCCCAGCTCCCTGTTCCCTGACCGCCCCCAGAATCCCTGCCTCTGACTGCCCCCCACTGCCCCATCCAACCCCCCCTCCTTCCTGACTGCCCCCCCGGGACCCCTGCCCCCATTCAACTCCCCACCCACCGTTCCCTGCCCTCTGACTGCTCCTGCCCCATCCACACCCCCACCCCCTGACCACCACCCTGAACTCCCCTGCCCTCTATCCAACCCCCCCTGCCCCCTGACCGCGCAGCACAGAGCACCTGTCAAGGTTCCTCCCCCACTCTGAACTCTAGGGTACAGATGTGGGGACCTGCATGAAAAACCTCCTAAGCTTATCTTTACCAGCTTAGGTCAAAACTTCCCCAAGGTACAAAATATTCCACCCGTTGTCCTTGGATTGGCCGCTACCACCACCAAACTAATACTGGTTACTGGGGAAGAGCTGTTTGGACGCGTCCTTCCCCCCAAAATACTTCCCAAAACCCTGCACCCCACTTCCTGGACAAGGTTTGGTAAAAAGCCTCACCAATTTGCCTAGGTGACTACAGACCCAGACCCTTGGATCTTAAGAACAATGAACAATCCTCCCAACACTTGCACCCCCCCGTTTCCTGGGAAATGTTGGATAAAAAGCCTCACCAATTTGCATAGGTGACCACAGACCCAAACCCTTGGATCTGAGAACAATGAAAAAGCATTCAGTTTTCTTACAAGAAAACTTTTAATAAAAATAGAAGTAAATAGAAATAAAGAAATCCCCCCTGTAAAATCAGGATGGTAGATATCTTACAGGGTAATTAGATTCAAAAACATAGAGAACCCCTCTAGGCAAAACCTTAAGTTACAAAAAAGATACACAGACAGAAATAGTTATTCTATTCAGCACAATTCTTTTCTCAGCCATTTAAAGAAATCATAATCTAACACATACCTAGCTAGATTACTTACTAAAAGTTCTAAGACTTCATTCCTGGTCTATCCCCGGTAAAGACCAGCATATCGACAGACTACAGACCCTTTGTTTCTCTCCCTCCTCCCAGCTTTTGAAAGCATCTTGTCTCTTCATTGGTCATTTTGGTCAGGTGCCAGCGAGGTTCCCTTTAGCTTCTTAACCCTTTACAGGTGAGAGGAGCTTTCCCCTGGCCAGGAGGGATTTCAAAGGGGTTTACCCTTCCCTTTATATTTATGACAGCACCAGTGGCTGGCAGCGCTACATCCGCACCGCCCAGAGCGTTGCCCGGCCACCCAGAGCGTTGCTCCGGCGTAGTGTAGGACATAGCTCTCTGTAAGTGCTACCAGTAGCACGTTCCTACGCGGAGCAGTTTAATACTCTACACCAGCAGCATGGCGCACTGAGGCTGCGGGGGAGGGGGCGAGTGGGGGTGGGCCCGGGGACTAGCCTCCCGGGCCAGGAGCTCAGAGGCTGGGCAGGAGGGTCCCGCAGGCCGGATGTGCTCACCCCTATACTAGTCACTCTGTCTGTTCTTCAGAGAATCATAGGTGAGCATTTTTTCTGTCACAGCAGGTGTCAACAGGTGGCAGTGTTACACATAACTTTCCAAGCTCTCTTGTGTTATGACTTGTCTACATGGCGACACAGTTGCAACAAGGTGTGACTGTAAAGTGCTGCGCTAGCTTGCCTTGCACTAAGTGGGTCCTGCTACCATGCACTAAGAGGTCGGTAGTGCGTTTTGACACTAACAGCAGTATGACAAAGTGCACTACAGAATGTTTAGAACATGGTAGCATAGTTCACATGGCAACTTAGTATGTGTTAGGCTAATCCACAGTACATTCACACCCTGGGTTGCCACACATTAAGTTACTGTGTAGACAGGCCCTAAGTGTTTGAGCAAATGTTCAGTCTTAGAAGGACATTGCTGTGTGCTGTTAGTGACTTGGTTACACTAGGTTCTGTGTATAGGCAATCTACAGAGAGGGAGCTGTGTGAGCAGCAGGAAAGTTTGCTCACTGCCTGGGTCTCTGATTATAATCGGTTCTTGAGGCAGAGTTGCTCTCTGGGCATTAGCGTTGAGTTGAGATGCCTGAAAAAAGGGATTGCCCTGCATGCTATTTGTGATTGTCTCTGTTCCAGGACTGGCATATGTGTGTAAATAAAACAAGTTACACTTAGTGACAGAGTCAGGGTGTATTCTGATTTCTTCACCACTGGGAAGCCAAACATCTGCTACCACTTGGCAGAGGGGCAGCTCTGGCATCAGACTGAGACATGGGTGTTGTAAGAGGGGGCAACCCTTTTCAGATAAAGATGCTTGGGTATCAAAATACATTTGGTGACTTAAGGCCTGATCCTGCAAACCCTGAGTCATATGACTTATGCTTACTTGAGTGAGTAGTTTTTTACTCCTTACTAAGAACTACTTCCAAGAGTCAGGGTTGGCAGGCTCTCACCCATAATTACCATTCTCCTTCTGATCCCTCTGTTTTTTTTTCCTCCAGCAAATAAATGATGCTTGGAGTCTATTACTATTCTTATATTTGGGTTATTTATTATGGGATAGATAGTATAATTGATAAGAGACCTGATATTTCACATGCTCACACGTCCTCCGTGATCTCAGTTGTCTTCCTTGAGTTATCTTTAGTTACTTTACTGTTCCATTCTCTACCCTTTCCTGAAGGGTTTATAGGTGATTGCTAATGCTCATACTTCGTTGATATAATCATAGAAATTTAGGGCTGGAAAGGACCACAAGAGGTCATCTGGTCCACTCCCCCATGCTGAAGCAGGACCAAGTGTACCTAGACCATCCCTGACAGGTGGTTGGAGGTTTTTAAGACAAGGTTAGACAATCATAGGGATTCCACAACCTTCCTTGGTTACCTATTCCAGTACTTAACTATTTTTATCATTAGAAAGTTTTCCCTAATCTAAATCTCCCTTGCTAAAGATTGTCAGTTACTTCTTGTCCCACCTTCAGTGGACATGGAGAACAATTGATCGCCATCCTCTTTATAAAACACCCTTACATATTTGAAGACTGTTATGAGGTCCCCCACAGCCTTCTTTTCTCAACACTAAACGTGCCCAGTATTTTTAACCTTTCCACATAGATCAGCTTTTCTAAACCTTTTCTCTTTTTTGTTCCTCTCCTCGGAGTTCTCTCCAGTTTGTCCACATCTTTCCTGAAGTGTGGTGCCCAGAACTGGACACAATACTCCAGCTGAGGCCTGACTAGTACCATGCAGAATGGGACAATTACCTCCGTATCTTCCATACGACCCTTCTATTATAATACACCCCAAAATGATAGTGGCCTTTTCTGCACCTACATCACACTGTTGGTTTGTATTCAATTTGTGATCCATTATAACTCCCAGTAGTACTGCAGTACAACTGTCTAGCCAGTCATTCTGTTATGTAGTTGTGCATTTGACTTTTTTCCTTCCTAAGTGTAGTACTTTGCACCTGCCTTTATTGAATTTCATCTTAAGAACATAAGAAATACCATACTGGGTCACACCAATGATCTATCTAGCCCAATATCCTGTCTCCAACAATGGCTAGTACCAGAGCTTCAAGGGGAGTGTACAGCACAGGGCAGTTGGAGAAATCTACCCCTGTTTTCTCCTCCTGTCTTCCGGCAGTCAGAGGTTTAGGACTGCCCCAAAAGTGGGGTTGCATCCCTGACCATCTTGGCTAGAAGCTATTGTTGGTCCTTTCATCCATGAAATTATCTAGTTATTTTTTGAACCCAGTTATAGGTATGGCCAGCACAACATCCAATGGCAATGGGTTCCACAGGTTAATTGTGTGTTGTGTGAAAGTTACTTCCTCTTCTTCGTATTAAATCTGCTGCCTATGCATTTTTTTTTGTATTGTGGGAAAAGGTAAATAACACTTCTTTATTCACTTTTTCCACATCATTTATGACTTTTAGACCTGTATCTTATCCCCCCTGACTTGTCAATTTTTTTTTTGAAGCCAAGCACCCCTAATCTTTTTAGTCTCTCCTCTTATGGAAGCCATTCCTTTATCATCTCTGTTGCCCTTCTCTGAACTTTTTCCAGTTCCGCTATGTCCTTTTTGAGATGGGGGGACCAGAACTGTGGGCACATCATGGATTTACAGAGAGATTATAATATTTACTGTCTTGCAGTCCATGGTTTGGGCATCTTCTTCACATTTGCATATCATGCTGTCCATTTGTGTAGTAGGAAATTGCGTTGTGAGGTTCTGAGGCATTTCACTGTGATCCTTATCTTACATAGCCTGGCAAAGCCAGGTAGCCGATCTGTAGGATCTATAATGAGATCTTGATTCTTGACCTGGCTGTTTATCCACAGCCTCTGCCATTTGTCTTTTGGTGATGGTCCCAAGGTTTTGAGAGCTTTGGTCATTAACCAGAAGGGATTTCAGTATTTAAGGGCATCATCTTGGGGACATATGGAGGTCTTCACAAAAAAGTTAGTCTGGATTTGTTATCACACAGTTGTATTCTCATATTATTGCAAACCACTGATAACTACTCAGAGTATGGTTTTTTTAACTAGTTGTGCACCAACCTTATAGTAATTTAATCTAGATCACATTTCCTTAGTTTGCTTATGAGAATATCATGTGGGATTATGTCAAAAGCCTTATTATATCACATCTACAGCTTTTCCTTGATCCAATAGTCCAGTAACCCTGTCAAAGAAGGAAATTAGGTTGGTTTGGCATGATTTGTTCTTGAAAAATCCATGGTGGCTATTACTTATCACTCTATTATTCTGTTGGTGCTTACAAATTGATTGTTTAAAAATTTATTCCAGCATCTTTCCATGTATCGACGGTAGGCTGAATGGTTTATAATTCTCTAGGTTCTCTTTGTTTCCTCTTTTAAAGATAGGTACTATGTTTGCCCTTCTCCAGTCCTCTGGGACCTTGCCCATCATCCATGAGCTCTTGAAGGCAATCGCTATTGATTCCAAGATTTCTTCAGCTAATTCCTTAAGTAGTATAGAATGAATTTAATCAGGGCCTGATGACTAGAATACATCTAACCTATCTAAATATTCTTTAGCTTGTTCTTCCCATGTTCTGGCTTGTGTTCCTTCCCCCTTGTTAATATTAATTGTGTTAAGCATCTGGTTGCATGTTACGTTTTTAGAGAAGACTGAAGCAAAAAAGGCATCAAACACCTCTGCCTTCATGATGTCATCCATTAGTGGCTCCCCTTCCCCACTAAGTAGTTGACCTAGCCTTCCTTTCTTCTTTCTCTGATTCCTAATGTATTTATAGAACCCTTCTTATTTCCTTTCATGTCCCTTGCTAGGTGTAACTGCTTTTTTTGTGCCATAGCTTTCTGATTTTTGTCCCCACATGCTTATGCTAGTCTTTTGAACTCATCCTTAGCAATTTGTCCATGTTTTCACTTTTTGTAGGATTCCCTTTTGATTTTCAGGTCATTAATGAGCTCCTCATGGAGCCAAATTGGCCTCTTCCTATTCTTGCTATTTTTCCTTTGTGTCAGGATAGTTTGCTGTTGTGCCTTTAATATTTTCTCTTTGAGAAACTGCCACGTCTCCTGAACAATTTTTCCCTTCTGTTCTTCCCCTCCCTACCTGTCAATTGTCTAAGATTGTTAAAGTCTGTTTTTTTTAAGTCCATTGTCCTTATTCTGCTGCTCTCACTCCTTCCTTTCCTTAGAATCATGAAATCTATCATTTCATGGTCACTTTCCTCCAAGTTGCCTTAAACCTTCAGATTCACAACCAATTTCTCCCTGTTAGTCAGAACCAAGCCTAACGTGGCCACCCCCATGGTTACTACTTCCGCCTTCTGAAACAAGAAGTTGTTCCCAACGCACTCCAAGAACTCACTAGACACTTTGTGTTCTGAAGTATTACTTTTTCCAACAGATTTTAATCTTAAAACTCATATGAAAAATGTTAGTTATTTTAACACAAATCAGACTGGATTTTTGGAATCTCAGAACTAAATCAACAAACTAATTTAACATTTGTATGAGACCATAAAATTCAGTGCATGTGTGACTTAAAATAAGGTTAGAAATGATGACTCTAATGGTACCACTGAATCTTTGTTTTTGTTTTGTTTTTCTTTATCAAAAGAGTGAGATTTGTGAACTGTGATTAGTTTCAAAATAAAATGATAAATTTATACATTGAAATGAATGTATTCATAAATTCTTTAGCATGGGTTTCCACATCCGAGTTGTGTAACTGCAGAAGATACTAATGGGACCCTTAATCATTAAGTTGTAGATGATTTCAGCATGATAGCTGCAGTTGAGGACACAGTAGTCACTTCATTGCTGTTCAAGCAATGGTTTAATAGTGTTCTCATCAATCTTTCTTTAACAGGTGCAAGGCAACTCAAAACACACTGAAAAAAATGATGGACTTTCCAATCAGCACAATAATGCAGGTGAAGAAAAGATCCTACAGAATTCCACTCTAGCCCCTTTTCCCACAAAGTGGGTTAATTCAGAGCAGAAAAGCCGGAAGGTCAGAATGATGAAGTGTAAAATCAAATCAGAACACGGAATTATTTCTGGGAGTGTTAGCAGCACCCCACAGAGTAACTCCTGCTCTGCATCCCAGGCCAGCAGTCCAGCAGCTACTTCACAGACTGATACCACCTCTTTCAATGTAAGTGCAGGCACTACACTGACCACCTCCAGCCAAGAAATCCGGTTTCGAAGGCAAGAAGCAGAGACCAATGTTGACACAGGATTCACAGTAGTAAATTCTGAATTCACTCCATCTCCCCTTAGCAGGTTTTCAAGGGACTTGCAGGACAGCCTTCCTCAAGCACAAGCACCAAATTATTCATTAGCTGCTGCTGGCTCCAGAATCAACTTGCCTTCTGAGGCTAGAACCCATCTGCCGTCATTTGCTGTCAAAAGAAATGAAGGCGCAGGACAGACAGCTTCAGACTTTCACTTGCGAATATCAAGAGCAAACTATGGGAATGGAAATGAAGAGGAGGAGGAATTCTTTATTTGACTTGAAACAAATGTGCCTGACAGACTGACTTTAAAACTGATAGCTAAATGCTTTATTCTGGAAACGGAGAGAAAGCAATCTGCATGCTGTTTAACTCTGTGTTTAGACCTAGGCTACCTGTTCTGTGATGGAAAAAGACTTCAGTGGGGTTTTATTGCAATAGAGTGACTCACGTACAAAAATGCTAATGGGACGGAGGGCAAAACCACAAAAAATAATCATGTGCAGTTACACAGTGAGTTTGATTCTTTTCAATACAGAGCACCCAACAGCCTAATTGTGCAATGAATGGGAATAAGCCATGCGAGTCCTATTGCTGTTTGTAAATGTTAATCAGTAGCCTGTGACACGTTCTGTCTTGTGTAGTTGCATTGGAGGGCTTTGGCAGTGGGGAGGCAGTGGAACGCTGCACTGCGAAAAATAGCACTGCGGACTCGGGAGGCGCTGCGTGAGTGTGCAGAGAGCTGTGCAGGGTACACAGAGTTCAGGTGTGCAGGGCACTCGACTCACCTAAAACAGTGCCTCAGCGTCTACTCTGCTATTTATATCTGTGCTAGCTGGGCGTGCAGTGTCTGGACCCTACATGCTGCCATACGTGTACATGTACCTTCGGTAGTGGCATGGTCACAAGGTGTGAACAGGCTTGCAATGTTTTTCTCCTTCTAGGTGCCCTCTCATTTCTCCCTCTGCCATCATTCAGACTTGAAAACTGTGAATGTGATCATTCATATGCATTTAAATGAGACCAAATCACGCCCTCATACTGCTTCTTTTCAAATTTTTGAAGAAAACTATTTAAAATCAATCGTTTGACCTCTTTTTTTTCTCCCCATGAAGCACATTCCCCCTGCCCTCATAGTGCTCCATGGAATAAAGTTAGAAACCATATGCAAGATCTTTATTAGACCTCTGTGCAATTATCAACATGGTGAAAATCCCAATTGAATTTTAAATGACAGGAGACCAACAGGAACCATTGGAGCTGAGAGAGCTACCAGAATGGTAAAAGCTAAACAGTCAGTAAGCCGTGCTCACCAAATGGCAAATGAAGCCATTCATTTAAAAGAAACAAATGTTTATTACCAAGATTAGATTTATTTAAAGTTTGCCTACTCAAGAACGGTTCCCTAGGCCTGAAAGGAGGAGAATTAGAGGGGGCTTGACTGAGGGGTCAAAAATTACAAAGAGCATGGCAAAAATCTGATCAGCCCTTTTTACTCTTGTCCAGAATATGAGGAACACATGGAACCTCACTGCCAAAAAAGGGTAAATGTGGAGTCATGACAAGGAGATGCTACTTTACACTGTGTCTGCTGAAAGTGTCTGCTCTGTCCTGGCTGATGGAATGTTTCATAACAGAGGATTAGGGCTTGACTAGGTTTACATTTGTCATGCTCTTGCCTGCTCTGAGGGAGAACAGACTAGGGAGGGGATGACCAGTGCTGCACCCCATTCATTTCAGATTTAGCCACATCACCATCCCTCGCCAGTAACCAGCCCACTTGAGACTTGTGAACTCAGGCAACCTGGTTTAAGCTTTGCACAGAGTATGCATTATATCAGAGTGCCTGAGGACCCAAGAATCCTGCAGCAGAATTAAGGTCCTGCTTACTGCTGAGTACCAGGGCTGTGCATATAACACTCCTGCTGCTACTGCACAAGGACATTGAGATGCCCACTGCAGCTTGCCTATTAGAAAGGGCTGGAAAATGTTATGATCATTAACAACATTTGCGTCTATGCTAGCTAAAATAAGGAGAGTAAACACACCTTATGCTTCAGTGTGTGACCTTGATTACCCAGGCAGGTCCAAAAGGGTTAATTTCCCCTTTGTGAACAGCCTAGCCTAATCAGCCAGGGGGGCGCTGTGGTTTGTTGGTGTTTTGGCTTGGGGGAGGCTAACTCCCACTTTCATTCCATCCACTTTCTCTTGAATAAATCTGCAAAAGGCTCCTGCTTAGACCTTGAAGTGTGGGTCTTCTCTGAAAAATAACTGTGTAATAGCACAGCATCCTCTCACTCAGCAGATCTGCTCTGCTCCTGTTGTCTCCGAATCCTATCTGTGTATTTCAGTGACACAAAACAAGCTGGGTCAGCTCACATCTTTGTTGCTTTGCGTTGTTTCAGTAGGAGTTCTTTCTTTATGGGATTAAATGCCGGATTGTGAGCAGTGCTGAACACCCTCAGTGGCCATTCAAATGAAAGGGACCTGTGGGTTTTCAGGATCAGGCCCTAATACTGCCAAGATAGAATCAGATGAGTCAGAGCAACTGAGGCTGTTGTTCTCCAGCTGCAACTGTGTGTGTGCTGGGAGAACGAGTTCTGATGTGTAGAATGACACATGTTCCTAACATTATTTTCATCTGCTACATATTGTCATACCGTGCCAGGCTGTCCTGAAAACGGATTCTTATTTTCCTGTGTCCTGTGCAAAGGAAACCATACTGTGTGGCTTGACATGCAGAGTTATAGATCCGAGGTAGAACGTCCATTGCCAGAGATAACTGATCTTCCATTTTATACCTGTACCATGATACACTTACTTTTTTAAAAGATGTGTCATCCTACAGTCTGTAGTAGTTTTAATCATTTTCAATAAAACATAACAAGACATTTTACTGCATATAAGCTGATTATTAACAACAACATCGAGTGGTATAAATTTACCCAGCACTTCATAAACCCAGAGCAAGGTGATTTGCCACCACTGGAGACATGCTAATATGAAGAAGCCAAATGAACACAGGACAAGGGAGAACAGTTCAGGAAAGGATTGGTGGTGGTGGATTACTGGAGAGGAGAATGACGTAGGGGATGGATTCCTGGAATAAGAGGTTTTAAGAAGGGATTTAATGGCTTGTGCCCTAAAAATAGAAGTGTAGCTGTGATGGCATGAGTGCCGGCAGGGTTAGCCGCCCAAGTATGTGTCTAGAGTCTGGAATGGGCTTGCACTTGGGGCCACTAACTTCTTCTGTCACTCGCATTGCTGTGCTTGCACTTCCAGTTTGAGCACACTAGCTTGATCACCTTCCAGCTTCAGTGAAAACAGACCCTGAGTTGAGTGGAGCTAGTCCTAATTTGCCCTAAGAGAATCAGGCCTTGCGGGGGGTGGGGACAAAGGGTGCCTTATGGACAAAAAAGCCAATTCTCTAGCACATAGAAAAGAATGAATGATGGTTCAAATTTAACATAGGGAGGAGGCGACACTATGCTGGTGAGTGAGGTTTAAATGACTAGACAGGTAAGAGCAGTGAGGAGAGAACTGGGAGGCGCATAGAGAGTGAATAATGAGATCTACACAGGCCCAAGATCACATAGGGTTATGTGATGCAGAGGGTTAGGAGCTATACTCGGATTTCTCTTCAGAGCAGTTTTTCCTAGTCGATAGAGCACTGGATTAGGACTCAGAATCCCTGGGTTCTATTTCCAGCTCTGCCACTGGTCTGCAGGGTGACCTTGGATAAAGTCATGTTCAGTCCCCGGGCCTCAGTTTCCCCTTCTGTAAAATGGGGACAATGATCCTGACCTCCTTTGTAAAGTGCTTTGCGTTACACTGATGAAAAGTGCTAGATAAGAGTTTGGTGCTGGTATAACTTAATGTATTGGTATTTATAAAAGATGATGTTCTGTTAAAAGGTGTCTCCTACAACACTCTCCCCACAAGTCAAAGTCACAGTCTTGTATTGCCATTTGAAACAACAAATAATAAACTTATTATGCCATTACAGGCTGCTAAATAGCTAAACCTCTTCACCCTTGAATGCTCCAAGCAATGGATAGAACAACTTCCATTTCCACAAGTACCTGGGAGCCAAGGTAGGCCTTGCAACATGTGCAGAAAGTAAATGTATCCAGTGTCTCAGTTCTCACTCACCACATGGAGGGCACGTTGGTGCTATGTCCAGAGCTCACAGTTATGCTCTGCTTACCAGGTTCATGAAAAGCAGAGTGTAATTTGGAGCAGTCCAGAGGCTGCCCTAACTGACAGCAGGGACTGGGTAGGCTCCTGGTTGCCCCAAAATATGAATGCAGAGGTATCTAAAAGGCACTTCCATGGCCCCCACCACCCTGTTCCTATCCCAAATGCAGGAATAGAATCATACAGAATTGGGGCCAATATTTTCCCCCAGAAGAAAGAATTCACGATTTCAGCAACACACATGTAAAAGGAAAATTCCAGTGTCAAAATCTGAGTGACTAAATCTAATCACATATAAATGTAGTCTTCCTCTAGCATTGGTCCTATTCCCATCTATATGTGGTCAGTGCCTCATGTCTTCTATTCCAATTTGTCTTGAAGCAGTTGCTCAGAAATTCTGCAGCAAATACAATCCTTTTGTATGATATCCATCTTTCTACTTTTGGGTCTTCCAACCCTTTTCAGACCCTCCACTTCTAAGTTTAACACCCAGTTTCCTATATATTCTTCTGATCTTCTTTTGGATGCCCAAACCATCTAAGCCTGTATTCCCGCAGCTTTTCCATAATTAGTACCACCTTTGCACTTTCCCTAATTCATTTGTTCTAAACATGATCCATCTGTGTAACTCCAAACATCCATCTTAACATTTTCATTTCCACTGTATTCAAGACCTGTTCTTGTTTAATCACATATAAAAGTAAATAAAAAATTCAATGCATTTAAAAGAATAATTGACACTTAACAATGATCAAAGTGGCAGCTTGCTATTTTTCAGGCTGGATCTACTGCAAAGTATCCTTACAATGGTACTTTCCACTGAGACCATTCACAGCTATGGAGATAAGAGGGAGTGACAGGTATTCTAAGAATGGTTCTGAATGATCACATGCAATGGACATAGCAGTAAATAACCATTTCTATAACAAATCACTGCTCTTTTCCTTAGCCTTATTGCTCTATCTTTCTTGGAACTGAAGGTTCAAATCCCAGCAGGTTCATATCCTTTGTGCTTCAAGACAGATGAACAAGAATGTGAGCCTTCCTAATACGATCCTTTAACAAACAAGGCTATATCTGCCCAGTGAGGGCCTCTGTCCAGCCATTTTCTGTCAGAGTAGAGATTTGGCTCATGTTTCACAGCTGAAATGTCTTTCCTCTCTGTAGGATGCTGTATGGTCATTGGCCCATCACTCCCCAGCCTGAAGCATTTCACTAGTGCTGTGAAGTACTTGTGGGTCTTTCGGGACAAAATGCCCTCAATAAATGTTTGTATCCCAAGCTCCTGGAGCCTTTGATCTATGGTTCCAGTTAAAGGCTGTTTCCAGTATAAATGGGAATTGCTATTTCTTTTCAAAATGAGCAACAGTATCTTTAAAGTGATGTTCAAAGTGTCCTGAAGAGAGACACGCAAGATAACGGCCCAATCCTGTTTCCATTGAAGTCCAAGGCAAAATTCTCGTGGATTTCAGTGGAAACAGAATTAGGGCCTTAGACCCTCTGAGCAAATTTAGGTTAAAAAAAAAAAAGTACTTCCATAGTAATCCCACAAGCAGATTAAGGTGAAACAGAGCAATGTTCAGTTCCTAAAGAAAGCACATGTACCTATCCAAACTCTGTGCCTAACACATTGTACAGAAATGGAAAAGTGATGGCTTGTTAGAGAAAACAATGTGATGGTCAGAGGTTGTCCCTGCACCCTCCTGGAGCCTTGTAGCCTTGTTTTGTGGATCCACACAGGTGGACTCCTGTCCCTACACGGAGCCCTGCCTAAGGGTTCACGCACATTCATCACACTGCAAAACTGGGTCCAGAATCAGGAGATAATGCTTCAAAGCAATTAGGAAGTTTTTCTGAGCTGTTCAGAGTGCTGGAGTTTTTGCCCAGTGTTTTAGGGTTAAACTGAAGGACACTAGGACCATGGCAGTTCCTTAGTTTGGTTCTTTAAATACCGTGCAGCTTAGTATAAGACAAAATCAGCCATATGAGATCTGCTTGCCTTACATTCATATTTAATGGTATTACACTGAATAATTTAAACCTCTGGTTTTCTATCGCAAGTTAAATTCTATAGCTCACTTTAAGTTTCACCTTGCTTGAATACTGGGCCACTTTGTCTCCAGTTTGCTAGTTTGTGTATCTCGCTGACTTCAGTGGAGTTATCTGAGGGGTGAGTTTGGGCTCCCACTGTATATTCTCTCTGCGTCTTCCAGTTCAGAGGCATGAGTTGTTTCCGGTGTGAGTTAGTCTGAGGTGCTAAATGTGAGCTCAGCACGGCACAAGGCATGGACTGAAGACCGTGCTTTCCCCAAGGAGCTTCCAAAGATGATGGGGCAAAGCTGCAAGGCCAGCAATTTAACTGTAGTTATTTTGATCCCTTCTTGTGAACATCACAAATGAGTCTTTAGGATGGACTTGAATGTTGGAGGTTGATAGTGTGGCAAATCAGAAAGGGGGAGCATTGTATGAATAGTGGGTGTGTTGGGTAAAAAGAGAGAGGTGGGATGGGATTGGATGAGGTATACTACCCCTGTAGGTCTTCGAAAGGCCCCAGGCATGTTAGCCAGAATCACCCAGAGGTAGAGCTAAACTCCAGACAGGTCATGCCTTCTCAGCCAGGTCTGCAGAGTTATGGGAACAGACTGCCAAGGTGTGTCTAGAGAGTAGATGTAGCTTATTAAACGCTGCGGCCCAGATGCTATACATAAAGGGGAAGCAGAAGAAAGGAGTGACTTAGCAGTGGGCTTTGCCTGAGCAACCTGGTCAAGCTTGCTAGGGCCTTCTAGAGCCCACACAAGTCATGTATCCCAGGACATTTGTGGGTGAAGTCGATAAAGAGTATCTAGGTTAGCATACCTAGCTGAAGAGAAGAAAAGCTTTTATCCATTATCTTTTTACATAATATTTGTTCTAAAGTCTTAGTTATAGCGAAACAAGTAAGACTAAACATGCCTCCATAGAGAGCTGAATAATGATGCACAGTATTATGCCCAGAGGTGCTATGGGATTACAACTGAGAATAAGAAGCAGGAGAGGAAGAAGTAAATCACTTCCTATGTTTATATAGAGCCTGAAATGATGCAGTTCCAGTCTGGTTGGCCCCTAGGCCCTTGCACTGTAGAAATGTTAAATAAGAAGGATCAGCAAAAGAAAAGTAGGTGAGAAATAGAGTGATAAGAAAAGAATACTGTACAATAAAGAATTGCTATAGAAGTAGGACAACTACTATTACAGGCTTTTCGTTTTCAAAGCATTAGGCCAAATTCATCCCTGGTGTAATTTATTGGCTTCTTTGCATTCACATCAGAAATGAATTTGGGGAATGGGACATGATTCTAACCTAACCCTGATTTTAGATTGAAATTGGGTCTAATTGCTGTGGAGTTGCTCATCAATAATACCGTTAAGTTATATGTCTATAAATCGTGTCTTTATCTAGTGGTGCGGGATACGCTTCAGTGTGATGCCATACTTTGTGCTATAGATCAAGCAACCCAGAATCCCCAGCAAACTATCTAGGCATATTGGGCCTGATTCAAGGTTTGCCTAGACTGCTACAAATCAGGAATTATGACACTGAAATTTCTGTATGTCCATTTATTTCTATTTCTACTTTCTTGCAACACCGATGTTGGTGAGCTACAATACATTAGTCTGCAGGTGGGGTAGCCCTGGCACTACTTTGAGTAGAACCACCAG